ACCTTCTGAAATTCAAATCCGACCACTGCCCGGTGCTTTTGAAGACGGAGAACTCTCCTTGACCTATGATAGCTAAGCGCCCGTTCTGATTCTTTGCTCCTTGGTTGCTTCATGTGGATTTTGCTAGCTTTGTTAGGAATAACTGGGTGGAACGTAATGATTGGAATATGTCCATTTCAACATTCACCAACAGCTCATCAGGATGGAATGTTCAAGTCTTTGGCCATATACAACACGATAAAGAAAAGCTTTATAGAAGACTTGATGGCGTTAACCGAAAAATTGCGTTGGATGGGTTTTTTGCCAGATTGGATCGTATCCAGAAGGAGGTATGGTATGAACTTGAAAAAATACTCTCGAGGGAGGAGATGATATGGCACCAATATTCTCATGCTCAGTGGTACGTTAATGGTGATTGGAACTTGCGCTACTTTCACGTAAGGGCGAATGGTAGGAAAAGGCGAAATAGAATTGAAGCTTTGAAGCTTGAGTTAGGAGAATGGTCTTACGATGTGGCTGAGATCATGGCTATAGGGAGCAGATTCTTTGAAAAACTATACACCGAAACATCCACGACCCTGAATTCTCTTGAGTTTCACTATACTTATCCTCTTATTGATGAGTTTCATATGAACATCTTGGCTAAACAAGTGGATGATACAGAGATTAAGCATGCTTTATTTGATATGGGCCCCCTCAAGGCCCCAGGCCCTGATGGTTTAAGCCTGCTCTTTCACCAAAGTCAATATGACACTATTGGGGGTTCTGTGATGAAATTTGTTAAGGAAATCTTTAGGGATCTAAGCCTAATCCGCACAATTAATGGGACTCAGATTGTGTTAATACCAAAAATTGATCACCCTGAGACGATTCGTGACTTTCGCCCGATTAGCTTGTGCAATGTGATTTATAAAATTGTAACTAAGGTGATTACTAATAGACTCAAGCCAGTTATCCCTATGGTGGTAGCGCCAAATCAATGCAGTTTTGTGAGCATAAGGCATAGTTCAGATAATATTATCCTTGCACAGGAGATCATTCACTCAATGTGTAGCATGAAGAAGAAGCAAGGATTTATGGCTTTTAAGATTGATCTTGAGAAGGCTTATAATAGAGTTCGTTGGGATTTCATCTTTAATTGCTTAAAGGAGCTCAACATCCCAGAATATATAAGTTGGGTTGTATACCATTGTGTATTATCTCCTCATTTCCAACTGCTTTGGAATGGTTTTACTGCTAGTGAATTTACACTGTCTCATGGTGTTCAGCAAGGGGACCCGATTTCTCCTTATCGTTTTGTCCTAGCCATTGAACGACTAGGACACCTAATTCAGAGTGCAGTGAATGATGGGGAGTGGCATCCCTTCAGACTTAGGAAGAAAGGTACATCTATTTCCCACTTGTTCTTTGCTGATGACCTTATTTTATTCGCCAAGGATGATATGGAGCAGGCATGAGTAGTTAAGGCCATTCTAGATGACTTTCGTGAGATATCTGGCCAATGAGTTAATGCAAGCAAGTCTAGGATTTTCTTCTCAAAGAATGTCAACCATAATAGACAAACAGAGATTAGTGAGTTTCTGAACTTTGCCCCTTCTTTAGACCTAGGCAGATATCTTGGTATGCCTATCCTTCATAAGAAAGTGTCAAATTCTACGTACAAGTTCATCCTTGATAGAATGGATTCTCCATTATCGAGTTAGAAGGCGAATGTTCTGTCTCTTGCAGGCTGTCACATGTTGATATCCGCTTTAGCTTCCACCATACCCACTTATGCTATGTAGACGACTCCGCTACCTAGTGCTATTTGTTCAGAAATCGACAAACTATGTAGGAACTTCCTATGGGGATCCAACACCACTTTGAGGAAAATACACCTTGTCTCGTGCGATACCATTTATAGTAGGAAAGAAGAAGGTGGCTTGGGGCTACGGGCAATGCAAAGCGCAACTTACTAATCAAGCCTACTTGACCAGGCTAGGGTGGGCAATGATAAACCGTAAAGATTCCCTATGGGTTCATTTCCTACGTGAAAAATACAAGGCCGGTGATGATCTGATTCCCAAGGTTGAGAAACGTAGATCTGAATCTCGAACAGGGAAAGGCATTTGTGATAGTTGGAAGAATGTAATCGACGGGCTCGCTTGGAGGGTGATGAATGGGCGAAACACTTTATTTTGGCGCGACATCTGGGTTCCTCACCTTGATCCTCTAGCGAGCTACGTTACTGTTCCTATCCCACAGGAGGCTTTGAGTTGGAAGGTGGGAGATTGTGTTACACCCTCGGGGGCTTCGAATTGGCCGATGTTCACTGGGTACCTTCCCCAATGTATACTCTCGGCAATCAATCGCGTGCACGTGCAGATAAACGGCTGTGATGACTTCCTAGTGTGGCGGTAGTCCTACTCTGGTATGTTTACTCTTAAATAAGCTTATACCCAGATTGCAAGCCAGAATAGCATCCTTAACCGGTCCTTGTGCAAGCTCATTTGGAAATTGCTCGTCCCACAAAGTTGTCAAACCTTTCTATGGTTATGCGCGCAGAACATGCTGCTTACAAACCTGTCTAGGTTTAAGCGTGGTTTAAGTAATTCTGGGGACTATGGTGTATGCTTGGGGAGACAAGAAACAGTTCTTCGCATACTTAGAGATTGTAGCCACAGTAAGCAGGTCTGGTCTGCTCTACTGCCACGTGTATGGAGGAGTCATTTCTTTGACATGTCTGACACATCCACTTGGCTTGCATGGTGTATATGTCGGAGGGTTTCTATAAAGGGCTTCAAATTTACACTCTGGTTTCCTATAGTGTGTCAAAATATTTGGCTTAGTCAGAATGAACGTTGGTTCAAGAGTCTAAGGCTGGACTACTGAGTCTCTCTTAGCTCGATCCCAAAAGTATCTGGCTTGGGGTGCTCGAAACCCTGCTCCAAACCAAAAGGGCAGCTCAACATAGATCAAATGGAAACCACCTCCACTAGACGTTGTGAAGATTAACATAGATGGTTCTCATTGCTTCGAATGTAGACAGTGCTCGTGTGGTGGAGTATTTAGTGACCATAATGGCGTGTTCCTTCAGGGGTTCATGTATAAGGTTGGCCCGGGATCAGTCTTCACAGGTGAAGCTTGGGGGCTCTTGTGAGCACTCAAGCTAGCGTGGGGTACCAGCTCACGAAAAATAATTATTGAAAGCGATTGCAGTGATTTAGTTAGCATTGTTCAATCAACAATCCCTTATGAACACCCGGACTACAATGCCCTGGTAGAGATCCAGCAACTGTTGGAACAAGAATGGCAGGTAGAAGTGGTCCTCTATGCCAGTGATGCGAACTCTGTGGCGGATGCTTTGGCTGCTGAAGCTGGAAGAGCCGTGGTTGACTTCACTCTGTTGCATAGACCCCCAGTTTTTATTCGCGATTTTCTTCATAGGGATGCACCTCATAGTGTAATCCTTGATACTTTGGGTACTTATTAGGTTCATCTCGCTCTTTGTAATTAAAAAAAAAAAAAAGAATGAGGAAGCAGACGAAAAGACTTCCACTCCTTCCTCTCCTCATTAATTTGCGTGGGGCCTGTATCTTTTCCTGATTCTCTGGCGCTTACTCCCCTCTCTCTCTAACTTACATACTCTCCCTCTTAGGGATGGTAACGTAGGACTTGTTACAGGTTAGGTTAGGATTAAAAGATATATTTGTTTAATAATGAGTTGGTTTTTAGCCAACCCTTATTTATTGTGGTGGGTTGATGGGTTGACCCATCAACTATTTTTTTTTTAATTTGTTATTTTTTAAATATTTTTTTCTTATACAATATAGAAAAAATATAATGAAATTTTTATTCTTCTTTCAAATATTTGATTGAAAACATCAAATAAATAATATTGGCTTTTTTTTTAAATTTTTTAGATGGGATATAAAATATAATAATATAATTATAATAATTAAAAAATAACCAAAAAAATAAATGCAGGCTAACTTGTTGCAGTTGTGGATTAGGCACTGTGGGTTAAAACTTTTTTTTGCTGGCAGCTTGACTTTTAACTAACTCTAACATATCATTTTTAGTGGGTTGGCTGGTTGGACCCACTTACCAGCTCTACTCCCTCCGTTCTTTTTTATAAGCAACCTTAAACTCCATATAGGCCAAAAAGTTGGTTAAAATTGGTGAGAAACAATAAATATGTAGAAATTAAAAGTTCTTTCTTCAAAATACTCTTATTTATAGAAAAGAGAAGGCAAAAGAAAGAAAATAAGAAAATTATCATAATAAAGAGAGTTATGAATGAGAGAGAACGTGTGATGACAAAAGATGATGGTTTGGAAAATGAGATAATAAATATATTGAATATTAAAATAAGTAATTAGTGTGAGCAAAATAAAGAATTTGCTATAAAAATTTAAGATAACTTGTAAATGTTGCTTATATTTAAGAACAAGAGAGGAACGGTAGTTGTTATTTATAAAATAGGACAGAAGGAGTATTATATTTAATTGGTATTTAATATAACACCTAATCAACTAATTTAACTAGATTAATATGTTAGTTAAATTAGTTAATGTGATATTGTTTTTATAAAATACCTTAAGTATCTTTTTAAATTTTTTCAATTTCTCTCTTAATTATTATTGGAAAAATATTAATAGGTTCAATTTTAAAAAAATTATGAATACTTAGGAAAAACATGTCATATTTCTTATAATTAATTAACTTACCTAACTTCCTTAATCTAATCAAATTAGTTAAATAAGTCTTATATTAGGGACCAGAAGAGTATATGCTCTTTCAAATCAATTTTCCTACAAGTAAAGAAAGCACCAGGAAAATTAACAAGAGAAAATAACAATGATAAGAGACCAAGTTAGGAGTATTTCAACTAAAGCATCAATTTCCACGATACAATTCTTAACATATACTCGTCAAAATTTATCTCGTCCACATATTTTGCGCGATTCATCATCAATTTATCTATCCATTTATATTCGTATACACGGCACTTCAAAATTGAAAAATCCTCTATGACTCCGTGATGGAATCCTCAAAACCCATTATCACCGTCCCAGGAGTAACTTCAATCGTCTTCTTCATAGTTGTCAGCTTCATCAGAACTGGTATTTCTCAGACACCGAATTACGTTGGAGACGACTGTCATAACAAGACTTCACAAGCTCTTACAGCCTCCTACAAAGCCAACCTTAACCAGCTACTCTCAAGGCTGTCCAACGATGCTTCCATGAGCAAACACTTCAGCAACAACGCCATCGGAAACACCACTAACGCCGCCGTGTATGGCCTCTACGACTGCCGTGATGATGTTGCTCAATCCTTCTGCCAGTTCTGTGTCTCCACTGCCACGAGAGAGGTTCTCCAACGTTGCCCAAGTCAATATTCTGCTGTAATATGGTACCAATCTTGTGTTTTAAGCACGCCTATGTTCTCAAACTCCTTCTATGTAATTAACAAATCTTCTGTGTTGTTTTTACTGTATAGAAAATTTTAAATCTGACGATGGCACCCGTACTAGCTAACACGGACACTTTAACTATTCTTATGCCAGTTTTTGTTTAATTTCAATTGCAACATAGGTACAGCTACTGCATCCTGCGATACTCTAACGAGAACTTCTTTGGGAAGGCGATGATGAGCCTGTCATGGTCGGCGGAAGGAGAGAAGAAGGTGTTGGATCCGATGGAGGGGAAGAAGGTGGAGAGTTACATAAGAAGTCTGATCGGGGAAGCCACGGAGGAGACAAACAGATTGAGCGCATGGGGAGAGTTTAATTTAGGTGGTGGAACAAGATATGCGCTGGTACAGTGCAGTAAAGACCTTACCAGTGAGGGTTGTAGGCAGTGTTTGGAGGCTATGGTGAACAAGGCAATTCAATGCTGTGAGCAGAAGCAAGATTGGCAAGTGGGAACGCCAAGCTGTATGGTCAAGTACACTAATTACATGTTTTACCAGTCACCATTTTCTCATAATCCTAGTACAGGTAAAATAGTGAGATAGACATGTTAATTTATTCAGTAGTTACGTTTGGCATTAAATTTCTTAAATCTTAAATTTGACATTAACCATAGAGTAATTTGCAATTGACGTTTCAAAACTTAACAAAGATATTCCAAAAATTGACACGTATATAAAATTTATTCATTTTTTAAATTCTAACGTTTTGTCTTCAGTTCAAATTAAATGGTCTTTTTCCACTCAAAAAATTAAATGGTCTTTTGGTTTTCTCGCAGTTTGCATCTCCTCCCGCAATATGCTAATTCACTCCTAGGGGTGAAAGCAATCAAAATATGCTTTATGAATTGGATTTTTATAAAATTTTCAACTATAACCTTTTTTCTTTCTTCATATTTTATAAACATTGTTATCTTAAAAAATACTCTTCTAGTCCTTAATATAAGATCTAATTAATTAATTTGAATAGATTAAAGATGTTAGTTAAATGAGTTAATATGGTATATTTTTTCAAAACACCCTAATCATTTTTCTTAATTTTCTCCCTCCCCTTCCTACTTGATTATTGTTGAGAGAATATCAATAGGTTTATTTTTAAAAAAAATAATAAATATGTAAAATAGATCTTACATATAGAACTAATATCATTTCTCAAAAATTAGGTAATATGCTAAGGACATGAGGAGTAACTTCTAAATCCTAATAAAGGCATTCTTGTTTGCAGGGGGATTTTTTTTTTTTTATAAAAAAGAAAGACAAGTGGGTTCAACAACCTCTATTTATTGCTTATAAAGAGAGGAAAACTGCTTTTTTTGTTTGTTTTTTTTTTGGCCCCGGGGGGGGGACGGGTGGTGGAAACTCGTCCTTGGTGCTTTTGACTTGGTCAAGCTTTAAAAAGCAAGCATTAAGTTGGAGAGATAATGACCTGGCCTGGTGTGGTTGTGTGGTGTGAATTTGATAGAAACTAAAGTTTTCTGCAATAAATTAAATAGATTAGATTCTATTACTATAATCGAATGTTTGCTCTATTGTATTGGATACATTCTTTTTCTTAAAACTCATTCGTTTCTCTTAATATATCGATATAAATATATATATATATATATATATTGCAAACTTTTATGCTACTTTACCTTTTGTTAAATTTCTTTTTTCTGTGAGGTTCAATATATATTAAGATATGTTGTAAAACTTTTTATGCTAATTATTTGTCAATGTTGCAGCCAATCATGGAGTTAGCAAGTCAAAAGCCTTGATCATAAGCACAAGTGTATTAGTAACTGTGACTGTACTCAGTTTTTCTTTCTACCTCTTCAGACGAAGCAAGAGGAGGAAAGGTATCACAGTACATGAATTTTCAATCTAATCATATCAATAATATCTTTCACAGTTAATTTTAATTTGTCTCATTTCATCACATCACATCATTTGACCCACGTTTTTAGATGGTATCCTTTCACTTGTCAAATTGTTCAAAGCTCTCACACACTTGTCTGAATAAACATGTGCCATACAATCAAACTGTGACTTGACATAATTTCCTTGTAGATGAAACGTCATTGGAGAGCACTCCAATAGTTTATGACCCTTCCCAAAGAGATAGTTCACTAAATACTGACCTTCCCATTGTCCCTTTGCTTGCGATTCAACACAGCACTCATCACTTTTCAGAAGATTCTAAATTGGGAGAAGGTGGATTTGGCCCTGTCTATAAGGTACTATATTTTGATTTAGAAGTTTGAATTATCAAATGGTTTGATTATTTGTTTTTACTAAATGTTTGTTTTGATTATTAATATGGTTTCCTAGCTTGAATTTACGATGGACTCATTATTATCATAAACAATTTTAGTTGAGCCTTTATTATTGAACTTATATGAGCAACTAAATGATACAAAGATGGTCAATAACATGTTTTCTTTTGATATATATATATATATATATATATATTTATATACCTTGTGAGAGCTTCTACTTTGGTCATTAATGAACATTTGTCCCTCTGCTTTGAGGGTCTTATATCGGATAAGCTAGAAAGTGAGGTTTATTATATTAAGGAATTTGGTTATTGTATTTTCACGGAGAATTTAATTCTCATTACATTAGGTAGAATGTTTAAATATGAATGGACCTGAGTTGATGTGGACTGAATCCTACACATATGCTTGAGGTCAATACAATTTTCTTTCTCTCCTATACTTCCTTACATTGTGTGTGAAATTCAAAGTTAAGTGTCGCTGGCAAACATTTTTATGGGCAGTTGTTGGAGGGACACTAAAAAAAAAAAACAATAATTAATGGCAAAATTTGCAAATTGTTATAAAAAAAATTGTTACTAATCAATAAGTAATGAACTTATGTCGCTAAACTCATTAGGACTGGTTCAAATTGAGTTGCATTGGTGGGCAAGGTCAGTTAAAAGTAAAAGAGTTAAGGTGCAATTATGATCTTGATCTTATTTTTTAGATACAATTTTAACCCTAATCTTTTTGGTAGTTCAATTTTGACCTAATCTTTTTTTTTTGGGTGTGCAATTTTGCCCCTAATCTTTTTAATTGGTAGTTCAATTTTGACCTAGTCTTTTTTGTGTATGCCATTTTGCCCCCAAGGGTCAAAATTGCACCACTAAAAAGTCAAGGGTAATATTGCACATGAGAAATAAGATCATGGTCAAAATTACATCTTAATCCAAAGTAAAATTTGGCCAAATTGTAAAAATACAAGCAAAGTAAACTTAAGTAGTGAGTCAAGTGTTGAAAGAAATCAACCATCCTCACTAGCTTCCACCTAATATGCTTAATATTTTTTATTTGGTGAATGCTTAATATTATTTTTAAATAGTACAAGGAAACATTTTTCCTTTCAACACGATGAAAAATATTTTTTAATTTATATGTAATATAAATATGGAAGACGTTTTTCATTTTACCATTCTAAATTTGTTATATATATATATAAATGTATTAAATTTTAAAAAAGGAATTTAAGTAAAAATTCAGAATTATTTTGGATGACCTGACTCCGCTTGTATTCACTAGTTTCAACCCAATTAAAGACCTATCTATATTAAGCCAAGGAAGGCCCTTGAGTTAGAAAAATACAATGCGCCCTACAAGAAAATAGGGCCTGGATTAGGCTACAAGGTCACACCCACACACATACACACATATATATTGTCACCTCAACTCAATCCTTATATGCTTCTTGTTTATCATATAATTACCGTATAGGATATTTGATTTGGCCTGATCAAACATATAGTATCTCTTTGAAATCATATATCAACCTTTTTCATTAGGGAACACTACCAAATGGAAAGGAAATTGCTGTGAAAAGACTCTCTCAAACTTCAGGTCAAGGTTCACAGGAATTCATGAATGAAGTGATATTCATAGCAAAATTGCAACATAGAAACCTTGTTAGACTTTTGGGTTGTTGCATGGAGGAAAATGAAAAGTTGCTTGTATTGGAGTACATGCCAAATTCTAGCCTTGATTCACACCTTTTTAGTATGTTTTCTAAACTCTCTTTCTCTACCATTTTTAATTTTTATCTCTACAAAAAATAGCAAATTAGTGGCAAAATTTGCAAATTGCGTTAAAAAATCATTTGATAACTACTTTACTTTTTTTTTTTTTAGAAGTTTATGGCTCCAAAGTAGTATCATGAATGACAAGGTTAATTTTATATGGTTTCAACCATGAATGTATGTGTTATGTTTCTTAGAGCATGAATTCACATGTTTAACACATGTATTATTCACGGTTGGTTGACCGCTTGTATGACTAGTAGTATAATATAATATATGGCATAATTATGTGAATCCACTAACTTTTCTTGCAATGATCCCTTTTAAATAGGGATGAGGTGCGAATATGTCCCGGAAGTATACAGTCAGGAGCTATAAGTATCTGAAAGTTTTTTAAGTTTTAATGTTGTCCTGAAAGTTGCTAAAATACAGCAATGTCATCCTGTAGTTGAAAATGCTAAATTTGACCATTTTGTTTGTCTGAAAATCTTAGTTGGCACTATCAGATGGCACTCATAATCCCACTTATTGCCACCTCACCTCAGTGTTTTTGTCTTTTACCCTCTCTCATCATCTCTCTTTAGTCTTTTCTCATTCTTTTCCAGACTCCTCCACTTTCTGTACAGTTTCTTCATTTCTTCAGTCATTGCGCCCATAGCCAATGTCGTCCCCACTCACCAAATGCTTTTCTTCTTCTCCTCCCTCCATACGCTGGCCGACTTCCCTGACTGTAACCATAACTCGACGGACCGTAGGTGTTCTCTCCTGTTACTTTTCTCAGTTCGAGTGTCCGTTCCTCTTGCAAGCAGTCATTGCCATCGTCCTCTTTCTAACCTCACTGTTCGCCGGCGTCTTCGATTCAACCTTCTCTCTCATTCTTCAAGCTAATTAGTTGTTCTCATTTTTTTTTCCTTTTGTCTCTTCCTATGGCCCTTCTCGGTGCTACTTCTTCCATCTTGACAATGCTAAGCTCTCTCTCTCTCTCTAAGACCCAAGCAGGCAAGACAATGACGGGATGAGTCTTTTTTCTTCAATGAATTTCAGTTTTTGTCATGTGCTGAAATTTACTCTTGTTCTTGCTCTGAAATTTCTTTCCTCTTCTTCTTGCTCTATATAATTTTGGGCCTGTATCTTTGAATGGATCTTTACCAGCTGAAGGAAACATACCACTGTTACAGCATAACATACACACAGAAATAATTTTTTATTGCTTTGGGCTGTGAACGTCGATGTTGGTTTGAAATTTTTTGGCCACAGGATATCATGCTGCATTGTGTTTTTTGTTGAAGTCATTGTCATATATTACTGTGAGAACAAAGAAAATAAAGAAAAAAAGTTCATGATTCTATATGTTACGAAGAATAAAGATGACGGGGTCAGAAGGAAGCGGAGGTGGGGGAAGAGAGAGAGCCGAGGGTTTGCTGGTACTCGAAAGGAAGAGTGGGGGAGATAATGAGGTGGGTGACGTTGGAGAGAAGAAGCAAGAGATGATGAGATGGCATATTACGTGGCTACCAAATAAGCAACTTGGTCAAACTTAACAGTCCAAATTAATTGGGATAATAGGGTGACATTGCAATGTTTTTGTAACTTCTGGGGCGATATTGAGACTTAAAAAATTTCTAGATACCCATAGCTCCTAACTGTATACTTTCGGAGCAAATTTATATCTTATCCCTATTAAATATTAAGGTTTCATGAGGAACAAATCAGTACATTTCAGACTTTTCTCCTTACAAATTTATCCTATTCTCTTATTCTCTTATATATAACTACACTGCCTTAATGTTTGCCCATAGCTTTTTTTTTTTTTTTTAAATAAGAGTGTTTGCCTACAGTTTGTTTGTTTTTTTTTTATTGATCTCCATTACTGTTCACACGTGCGATGCTATCATCAAATATGTAAGGTCTCCATTGATGCTATACCAGCTAACACTTTTTAACTCAATTTGCCAACACAAACATTGCCACAAAACTGTCTGGCTTCTACTTTGTGTGTGTGCGCGCGCGCGTGCGCGCGTGTGTGTTGGAGGCGTTTCCAAGTTTCGACTATGCGTTTGACCTCTTTCTTCGTTGGATTTTTATTTAGTTAGATAATAGAAAGGTTATAGATTAACATGTTTTAGAGACATTAGATACCCTATAGTGATAAAACAAATGAAACTCAAACTGTCATGCCCATTACTATTTTTACCCATTTAGTGGCATAGGGAAGTATTATGGTTCAAACAAACTATGAATTAAGTCCCATAAATTAAAATTTGCATTTTAGTCATTGAGTTACTATTCAATCATTTGGTATTTTTAATTTTTTTTAGTCTAGCGTTGAAAATAAATAACTAATTATAAAAATATCATATAAAGGGGACTCAAGTTTTTAATTAAAGCTCTCTGAATTCTCTATAAGGAAATAAGCTATAAATCTAGACATTGATCCTGCCAATTGTTGTAGTATCTTTGGTGGAACATCAGTACTGTTCATTTCGTCAAATAATGTCTTGTAGATTTAATCCCTATCCTGAAAAATTGATATCATGAGCTCTAAATGTGCAATTGAAGTGATCTATGTCTTTTTTTTTTTTTTTAAAGATTGATTTATGCTCTTCCTTTTATAAAATCATCATGACCAAGCTTATTTTGCTTCTATGCTTTATGTCATACTTTTTCTTACTATGTAATTTAGGAGCTTTAGTGCATTTCTTTTGATAAATTGGCCTCTTCAGTCATTCTTTGTGCCCTATTTTTTCAGTATCTCATCTTCATCTTAATGCATGCTATCATAACATGAAATATTCATGTCATGCAACTCTCAAAACCTCATCCCACCTCATCACACTTGATTACAAAATTTCACAACTTGCATACTTCAACTATTTTAGTACATTGTGTCCTTTGTTTTTTTTTCATGCATTCTCCTCCTCTTGTTATTGGTAACTATTATGGCTAGTTAATGAAAGACGAGGTTAAGGAGAATCTTAGTAGCAATATAACCATTCAAGGACTAAAGTCATGTTCAATCATTGTACAATTCTTACATAACATTGTCAAGACTTGCATACCATATTTAGACATCAATTGATGATAGAAACACAAGCAGTTATAAATTTTGTTGTTTTGTTATACATTATGCAACAAAATTTTAAATGGTGAGTCTCTTAGAAAACAACTAACAAAAATTTTTTTCCTCCCTCAAATGCTGTTGTCAAAATTTTTCTTGGAAAAAAATTTTCAGATGAAGAAAATAGAAAGAAACTGGATTGGAAACAAAGATTACATATTATTAATGGAATTGCAAGAGGACTTTTGTATCTTCATGAAGATTCTCGACTTAAAGTAATTCATAGAGATTTGAAAGCCAGCAATATCCTTTTGGATTATGAGATGAACCCTAAAATATCAGATTTTGGATTGGCAAGAACCTTCGAAGGAGTGCAAAATCAACAAAATACAAGACGAATAATGGGTACATAGTAAGTGTTAGATACACATTGATCATTTACCTTTTTTAACTTTTAAATTATCCATCTCAAAAAATTAGTATTTGAATTGTTTGAAAAAGTTTAGTTCATGGATGACTCAACTGCTATTTGAATTGATTGAAAACAGTGGTTATATGGCTCCGGAATATGCTATGGAAGGATTATTTTCAGTGAAATCAGATGTTTTTAGTTTTGGAGTTCTTTTACTAGAAATTATATGCGGGAAAAGGATTAGTGGCTTCTATCTCTCTGAACATGGTCAAAGTCTTATACTTTATGTAAGTTATTTTACTAATCTTATCTCCTCAAGGAATTTTGATTTTATAGCAATAATCCAATCTTAGCCCATTCGATATTTCAAATAGAAAAATTGGCTATTCCTTGCAGGCTTGGAATTTGTGGTGTGAAGGAAAATGGTTGGAGTTGATGGACCCAATACTAGAAAATTCATACATTGCAAATGATGTTTTGAAGTGCATACATATTGGTTTACTTTGTGTTCAAGAAGATGCAGCAGATAGACCAACCATGTCCACTATTGTTGTCATGCTTGCAAGTGACACAATGACCTTTGCCAGACCTAATCGTCCTGCATTTTCAGTAGGAAGAATGGTCCTAGGAGATTCATCTACTTCAAAAAATTCCAAAGATGCTTCTATTAATGAGGTAACCTTGTCTCACATCAAACCCAGGTGAAAACTAATTTGATAGATGACTATATAAATCCTCTATATAGCAACTACAAAATCAAGTGGGCTTTTTTCATCTTCTTAAGCTAGATGAAGAAGAAGACATTGGACAATCTGGAACAAGGTTTAATTATCAATTAAAACCAAATGATGAGATAAGACTTCTAGGTTATTAACTACGACATATGAAAGAAATTCGCATCGGTCCGTCCCTGCCTAAAGTGTATTTCTGGGTATGTATCTTATGACGCCCTCACGTCTTATATAGTTATCAAAGAAGGTGATAAAATGGTCGGATAAAAGTGTAAAATTTTATCCTTTTTACAAAGAAGGCTTCTCATATTCACTACTTAGAATTTAATTTTTCTACATTGTGTGCATGCATATTTGATTTATTAGTATGTTAAATAATTAACTGGTTCCAATTCTACCGAATACTTGTTCATTCCTAGAATGTGGATATTCTTTGTGGAGAAAACTCCTTATATTTTATTTAAATAATTGTAAATAATTAATTGGATTTTATAAGTTGGGGCCAAATCTTGAACCATGTTTTTTTTGGTAACGATCTTGAAACATTTTATCATAATTAAAATATTTTTACGGTATTTTTGTTCCAAAAGTGCTAAATATAACATCCTGAGTTTTTAGCCTTTAAGAGAATTAGGAAAATTAATTGTTTCCCCAAAATGGCTATTTTAAGTATTTATAAAATTTATGAAAAGATTATTTCCCCAAAAATGACCTAAATAATTTTAAAGTTAATTTTGGATTTTAAAGGGGCTATTTTGTTGAAAATCCAAAAAAAATTGCTAGAGGATTATTTTTGAGCTGAGATTCTTAGAAAAATTATTTTATGAGTTAAGGAATTTAATTATCGCATAAAATCCTTATAATGTGTTAAGGATTAATTTATGAAATTAAGGGCTGTTTTCTTGAAAAATTCAAGAAAAATAATTAGGAGTTGATTTTTGGCCCAAAGTTTTTACAAAAATTATTTCATGAGCCAAAGAAGATAATGGAGGAAGAAAATTTATTAAATATACCAAAATCTAATTTCTGGTATTATTTAGTTATTTCAGAAAATTAGAGTAAGGGGTGAAGTTCGCAAGGAAAAAATTGAAGGGCAAAAGAGTCAATTCCCTTCTCACACAATTCTCATGTGCGCTCCCTCAGTTTTAAGCCTCAGATTACTCTCTCCCCTCCCTCATTTTCACCTGCAACTAGAGAGAAAGGAAGGGAGACTCGAGAGAGATTGTGGGAGAGACCAGATGGTCATCGTCGATGAAGTGATCGAAGGGTGGTTTTGGTGCAGCAACCAAATTAAATCCTAAGTCCAATCATTCAATCCGTAAAGCTTCCAATTATAACTATCATATGACTACTCACCTATTTTTTTGCACCTCCATCTCTTGAGTTCTTGGGAATCACTTTTTTATATAACTACTAACCTAGTATTCTATATCATGAGTTTTTTTCTTTCCTAACAACAAACTGATAATCTCCATTAAACAAAAACCGAGGTCCAACAACATAAGCACAAGAAAAGCAAAGCAAAGCAAAACAAAATAACATCAACCAAGATCAATTATAAAACTACATCTATCTCTATCTAAAAGATCCTAAAACTGATTCAATATATCATGATCAAATTTTATTTTTTCGCCATTCAAATTCAAAATTACCTTCAACACTAGTTTGATAGATAATAGAAAATAGAGGAGTGCATATAAATTCATTTTTTAATTTTAAATTTCTATCATATATTGCATCTTTCAATTTTTTTTTGCTATATTAATTCACGTAAGAAAGTTATTAAGTTTCGTATCTTATTTGTTTAATTATTATGAGTGATCAAGGAATTGATCTTAATGAGATGTAAAACAAATTTTTTGAGAAATCGTCTTGCTGTCTCAATAAGTATCTAATGATGAGATCAATGATAATGATGCCTTATTAACACCAACTCCACAAATATATCAACTTATTTTACAATTAAAAACTATAATTAAATCATTATATTATTAATTATGTTTTTATTATATAAATTGTTGTAGGATTATCATCAAAAATACTGAAATATGAAATTAGCATTGGATTAGAGGCAGAAAAATTCTGTCACTAAAAATTTGTAACAAAAATTAGTGATAGAATTAATAACAAAAATTAGAGATAAAAAAATTCTGTCACTAATTTCATTGCTAAAAGTTTATTGACAAAATTATTTACATATTAGCGATAGAATGGGATTCTGTGGCTAATACATTACTAATGTAGCGACAGAAAAATTTCATTGCTTACCCATTAATCTGTTGGCAAATTCAGTGATAAAAAGTTTTTCAACAATCCGTCGAAAATTAGTGATAGAATAATTTTCATTGCTAATTTTGCCAATAATGAGTTGTTTTTTTTAGGTAGTGACTTATTTAACTATAGCTTAGATTTATTTTCTCACCGTAGACTAGCTTTTATTTCCATTAAATATTTCTTTTCAGTGTAAACTTAAACAAAAGTGTAAATGTAAAATTAATGCTCTTTTAAGTGTAAACTGTAAATGTAAAATTAATGGTCAACCAGTTGTTGGTACCAGATACACGTGGGAACAATACTAATCACATTATTAGTTGATACAACCCATGAATTTGTGATAACGTTGGCTCACACATTTTGTGCTAGGGGCAGTGATACAGGCCAACCCGTGGGTTGCTCTGTAATAGGTTGATCTCATATGAGTCGGGTTAAAAAGGCATGGTTGAAGCCAACCCTCACCCATCAACATGGGTTAGCGATTGGCAGCATTTACTTTTTTTTAATTTTTAATTTTTTAAATTTTTCTTATACAATATCCAAAAATATATAATAAGATTTTTGTTTTTTCTTGAAATATTTGATTAAAAGCACCAAATAAATTATATAGATATTTTTAAAAAAATTTTAGATAGGATATAATATAGATTAATATAATTATAATACTTTTAAAAAAATTTAAAAAAATAAATACGGGTTAGCCTGCCAGTTATCGAGCTAATAACCTGCGGCAGGTTATAGGTCCGGTGGTGTGGGTTAACAAAGTTCAATTACGGGTTCAACCTATGTTACTAGCTCTACTTTTTACCTATAAAAAATTGAGCATAAATCCAAAAAATGCACATGAAGCATTGTCGAGAACCTTATCTTCAAGTTAAACATGCAAGTTACCATTAGAACCTTCACATAAAACCAATTTCCTCATAATATAATCATAAAGGATTGATTTTTTTTTTCCAGCACCTGCAAAGTATGTTTTTATATGTTCTAATATGTTATGTTAAACTAGGGGTTAAAGTACAAATTTGTCTCGAAAGCTTTTACTTAAGACAACTAAGCAACCAGAAGTTTTTTAGGTGTAAATTTTCCCAGATGCTTAAATTCGTAACAATTGTGCTCCATACCATTAAAAAACTAACACTGATTATTAAAATTGTAACATTGACAGTTAAATTTTCTAACAGTAGGGGGCAAAATTATTATGATTTTAAACTTTTCAGAGCAAAATTGCACCTAAAAAAACAAAAAGAAATATCCAGGTGTCTATTACTCCTTATTAGTGAAAACTCTTGGGACAAATTTTCGTTAGAATGACAAAACACCTGAGAAGGGAGTGAATTGGGTAACATTAAAAATTTTAAAGATTAAAAAATCATAATATAAATTAAATAAGGTAGAGTTAGAAAGATTTCGACGAAAGAGTAACAAGAGAAAAGAACACAAGCAAATTATACTGGTTTGGTCCAAGCTCTTAACCTATGTCCGGTGCCCAAAGCACCTTTGAGAGTTCTACTATAGTCTCCAAGATTCAATGGGCTCTTGGTGCCTCAGTACAGCCATTGAATTCTCTCAATCATTCCTCCTCACTTCCCATAAGAATGTAACCCACTCAAGACTCCAATGATCTTGAGTATCTCTCAAACTGAGTAACAATAGCTTATACATTTCTCTCTTATAGAGTATTAATGACGATCACTAAAACCTAGGAATACAATTCAAAAAACAAAGCAATAAATGAACAAATTAAATACAGCAGAGTGGTAGTTTGTATTTGTTAATGCTCCATTGAATGCTTCATCTATTTATAGTTGATTTTCATTAACTATCCATTAGACTCAAGCATTGTTACTGTTGTAAAGAGAATTGAATAGGTTGGTAGCTTGTAGCGGTTAAAATGCATTTAATGCTTCTGACATAAAGTGGTTTAACCAACTTCATTTTTTTCATTGAGCTACTAATCCTACGATAATCTTGCTTAAATATGTCATTAGTAAATCACAGAGTCAGGGTGACTAAAGAAAGATCATTACATGAAGTTAAAAACAAGTAATCTTTAAGTTGTCCAAAAGATCAAATACCTCAGCTTGATGAACTCTTCTCAATAAGAAATTCAAGAAGCATGGTTCTCAATAACATTATCAAGAAATATCAAAGCATATAAAAGTTGAAGTAAGGAAACTTGAAGCACATTATCGAGAAATTGGTTTCTTGATAAGTTTTCAAGAAAAACACGATATGCTAGAGTAACTTAGAAAATCTTAAAAGGAAGTTTCTTGAGTAGCTTATGGGTAACAGAAAAAGGTTATTTCGATAAAGTGCTCAAGACCTCAATTACCTTATTGAGAAATACATTTATTGATAACTTTGTTGATAAAAGCTTTTCTTGATAACATTACTGAGAAATAGTGAAAAAAATTTAAGATCAGAACAACTGAGTTGGAGCAAACTATATGGTAGTCTTTAAAGAACTTCACTTTCTTTTATGGGAAAAAAATAAAAATTAAAGAAAATTTCAAGAGACTTAGGTGAGAATAGAAAAAGGACTTAATAAATATGGAACTTGACATCATTAACTTATATTCTCAAGAAGTTTATCAATAAAATAGCTTCTCAGACTATGGCTATGTTTGGTCCTGGGTTCCTCTACCATAGACTATTATAGTAGAAATCTACGATGAGCCTGTAATCCTCATTCTCATCATACCACCAAGGGAAACGATCTCCTAATTTCTTCTAGTTGACTGACTCCTCTGAGCCACTATTATTCCTACAACACACCATGTCTATAACTTCTTGCAACACAATGACCATAACAATCCACTAAATGAACAGCAATATTTTCCCTCAAATCATAGCATTACAACTGATGCCAGAACTTTTACTTTGATACCAAAAATATAACACCTGCAACTTATACTAAATAACTAACTAATTAGAAGTAAATAGAATCACATTTGATGGCTACAAGTTTGAAAAATTTTGTTCTTGGGTTACTATTCACAATAACCCATATTTTGGCCAAATTTTGAAAAATCATAAATAATTCTAAAAAAA